TTTAATTCAGAGTGCCAGAGTGTTATATTTAAAAAGGATTTTGACAGATAGTTGCATAAGACACAGTTGAACGAAATAGAGATATTTAGTCTTGGGAATGAGGCTAGCTTAATTCAGGATATAGATAGGCTTGCCATTAATGAAATACGCATTTTAAAAATATTACTTTGAGAGGTGGAAAACAATATAAGGGGACAAGGGTAAATATAGGGAGACTATGAAGTAGAGAATGCAGCAACCCAAATAAGTGATAAAGGATATTTGGTCAGTGATGGAGATGGAGACAAATGGAGGTAAATCTAACATGAGTAGGATGGATTGGGTGTCTGTTCATGGGACACAGAGGGAGGTAAACTGATGTAGCTGTTTGGAGAACATTGTATTCAAGATCAACATCTTGGCAAGGTACTTTAGTGACAATTACCAGTCAAGCTGTTGTACATTGCAGTCTGGTGTATAGAATAATTAAGGTAGGAAACAAGGATACAGGAGGCATCTGAATAGAGCGAATATCAAATGGCCTTTTACAGTTCACAGACCACTTCACCACTCAGTAACTCAATTGGTATTTAATATAACTCTGCAGCAAAACAGGTCCAGAGACATGAAAATCAAAATTACTTCATGTAAATTTGCTTAAGCTTTCAACACTAGTAAGTGGAGGGGTGGGGAACCCACGGCCTTGGGACCACACGTGGCCTTCTGGATCTTTGAGTGTGGCCTTTTGACGGAATCCAAATTTTACAGGACGAATCCTTTTAATAAAGGAATGTGTTCTGTGAAGTTTGGATTCGTTCAAGGGGCCACACTTGGGGATCTATTGCATGTTACTCAATGAGGATTGGAGCTATAGAAGATGCGGTCCCAAGGCAAAAAAATATGGTGACCATAGCATAGGACACACCTATTTTTAGTGACTGAAGAGAAGAGGTACAGTAAAGGAAAAGAAGATAGATCAGTTAGAGAGGGAGAAAGTACCTGGAGAATATTTTACTCTAGAAACCAGGTGAGGGGCAAAAAGTGGAGAGGTTCCAGAATGAGGGACTGGTTCACATTCTCAGGTATTTCCTAGATGACCAGGATGCTCAGTGCTGAGACCAGACCACTACCTTCACCGCATATTTTGCCTTTCTCATTTCATGTTCACTCTCGCTTTTCTCGTTTGGCTTTAGATCCTGACTAGAATTTACGTTCCTTGAGGGCAAGGTCCATGGCTTCTTTTCCTTCTTGTCTCTGTGCTGCCTGACACAGTTGTGCACATAGACTGATACGAACTGTGAAAGCTCTCTGCATGCAGATGATTAATCATCACTAGAACTTTTCCAACAGCACAATCTCTGGTGCCAAAAGCACATTTGTTTAAAATGTGTGCTTTAAAATGTGTGGGATATGTGCTTAAATTTGAATGAATCTGCCTAAATGGTGCCATCTGTTCTTAGGCAGTTTCAGAAACATTTTAATACAATTTTACCTTTAAAAGGACAAACGGAAGGCTACACTTGTGAGACATAGAGTCATCCTTAAATAAACACAGAGCAGACACCAATACAACCAATCACACTTTAAAAGCTCCACATAAAGAGTGTTTTCTGAGGTTAAAAAAATTTTTATCTTAGAGGACACCAACTGCTATTTCATGCAGAAAATATTTATGAGAAGTTGCAAAACTGTAGGCATGGACTCCTACAGCATATTACTGCATTTTAATTACAGATTCCAGAATACATAATTTTAGTTTATGTAAATCTCATATTCTTCTGAAATGGGTACACTCTTCCAATATTTGTTAATAGTCCACATTTTGTTGTGGTTTCAGCATATCAGTTTCAAAGTTGAAGGCAGCTCTTGAGGATAGTCTCTGTTATTCACTTATATTGATTGTCAATTTGACTTTCGTTACAGCACTGTAGGATTTATTGTTGTGTGACTATAACAGTGAAATGAAACCCGTGTTTAAGTTCTGCAAATAACTTACAGTCACTTCCCAAACACCTCAACTTAGGTTCTAAATTTGAGTTTGTGGTTTTACATGCACAGTTATTTGCTGATCCACTTTAGCATGCAAAATCACACACTGGCTAGGTTTGGGTATAGTTATTGTGGCAAAAAGTAATGGGTAAAATTTTCAGCCTATTTAACTCACTAACTACATCATCATCACCAAAACTATGCCAAAACTAATGCCAACTAAGCATTTTGACATCTGTGTATTTTGCTAGTTGGTGTACATCAACAATGGTACATATCAAGAATTTATATTCACAGAAAGAATTTCTGGCTCAAATTGTATCCACATATTTTACCCTATCTGCATACATGTCTATCCACATTGAAATTCTTTGGTTACATCCTATTTTGCAAAGGTGGAGATCTGAATATATTTATTCATATGAATATTCATTTGGAATATTTAGTTTTTTGTTGTTTGAGAGGGTGATATTGCAAACTTGTCACTAATATCTTGAGTCATATTAATTTCTTTCTTGTAAAAAATGTGAAACACAAAAAAGTACAGAGAATATGTGACTGTAACCCATGTTTTTACAATCTAGGATTTGCTTCTAATAATTTTTAAGCAAAAGAATTAGCATCTTGCAGATAAAGCTGAAGTCCCTTTTTGGCCTTTCACTTCCATCAGTAACAAAGGCAACCACTATCATTAATTTGCTGTATCCCTCTGGTCCATATTTTTATATTTTCAATGATCTAAGTTATGCCTTCATGAATAATAGGTAATGCTGCTTTTTAATTATATAAATCCTATCATAGTGTTTATATTATTATTTAACTTGCTCTTTCCTCAGCATTCTATTTTAGAAATCTATCCATGCCAATTTTTCCAAAAGTTGCTTCATTTTAACTTCTCTGCAGTTTGAATTATCCCAGTTCATTAATTTTTTTTCTGCCACAGTTGTCCATTTAGGTTATACATCTTGTTCCAATTTCTTATTATCCCAAATAATGCTTCAGTGAATGTCTTTATATATATGTCTTCTGGTATACCTGCCCAAGATTGCTCTTTAGGAATATACCTAGTAATCCATAGCTGGATTGTGGGTTATAAGCATTTGCAACTTTGCCATATACTATCAAAGTGCTCTCAAAAATTGTTCTTAATTTCTGTTGTCACCTGCAGTCATAGAAGTTCCCATTTCCTTATATCCTCACCAACAGTTGTGTTTTAGACTTAATTTAGCTTTTAAAGTTTGGCCAGTGTGATGGGTGTGAAATAGTTTAATACACAGTAAAGTTATGTTGTCCTGATTATTTATGAATTTGAGCATTTTTTTCAAATATTTATCAACTATTTCCAGTTCTTCTTTATGATTTGCCTATTCATATCCTTTGCCCATTTTTTCTGAGGAGTTTATCTTTTTCTTGTTGACTTGTGGGAGTTCTTTATTTCAAATATTAATCTTTTGTCCACCATATGTATTGTAAATATCTTCTCCTCATGTTTTAACCTTATGGTGGATTTTATCACACCAGAAGTTTTTAAATTTTGAATTGTTTTGGTGAAACATTTTAAATCAATTCACTTTCTGTTTTATGTCTTCTCCTAATGTATATATTTCCTCTTTGGGTTGATTACAATATGCTTTCATGTTTTCTTGTTTTAGTGTAAGGGTTGTATTATTTTACATTTAAGGCTTTAATCCATTCTGGAATTTATTTGTATGGGTAGTGTGAGAAAGCAATCTAAATTTATTTTTTCAAGATGGATAGCTGGTTGTTCCAGCACCATTTATTGGTGCATCCTTTCTCTGCCATGATCGGATGTTACCTCTGTCATATACAGAGTTCAGCATGTCTCATTGACTAGTTGCCTGCTCCTGCACCAATACCACACTGTTCTCATTACTGTGGCTTTATGGTCTACTTTGCTAGGTGGCAGGACAAGTCCCCTTCCTTGTTCTTCTTTCACAGAATTCCTTCTCATTTTATTTGAAGATTTTCTCTTCCATGATTTTTAGAATCAATTTGTCTTTTTCTGTAAAAAATAAAAAAAACCTATTGCATTTTTATTTCAATTTTATTGAATATATAAGTTAATATAGAGATATGCATACATAGATTAACTTTGAATTTTTCCACTTATGAAATGATATATTAATATCTAGCACACAATTGTCAGTTTTTCTTTTTGTGTTCTTTAATATTATTTTATCATTTTTCCTATAAATTATATATCTTTTATTTAGTTAATCCCTTACTATCTCATTGCCCTTGGTGCCACTGTGAATAATATCATATTTCCTGATTAATTGTTGCTGGGTTATTAGATCTTTGATGGTTTTATTAATAAATATGGATCTTACATCCAGCAACCCTGCTGAATTTTTTAGTTCTTAACAGTTTTTTGGAAATGCTCTTACATTTTCTATATAGACCACCATATTTTTCCATGCATAATGATATTTTAAGCTCTTCTTTCCTATCATTATACCTCCTATTTCTTTTTCTTGTTTATTATATTGGTTAGGATCTCTGGTTTAGTGTTGAATAGCAGCAGTGATGATAAGCATCTTTGTGGATCATGTTTACAATTATGGTAATGAATTCTCTTAATACACACATTCTTACCTGTTTTCCCATGTATTAACATTAAACATTTGCAATATGGGTAGCCAAGGTTAAGTTATCAATTATAGTCAGGTAATGAAATACAGTTTACATATTTGTAAGAGGACTTAATCTTTACCTAATTAGAACTCTTTTCTCATTTTCTGAATCACCCATCCAGATTTATTACCAGTAATCCAAGAGGTAATATGCTTAAAAAAATTTACTTTAAGGGTCTCAACTAAAAAAACAAAAATAAATAAATAAAATAAAAAATAATGTAAAAACAAGCATCTCAACTGTGTTTTTGCTCCCTTTGACAGCGTTGGCTTCATGGAAATGTCTTATCATTAGAAATATAAATTTAAATCTTTTGATATTCTTCAAAAATTCTCAATTGTTCCAATTATTTTTGTTTTGCAATTTCTTTTTTATAGACTCCTATGAACCAAGCTTCAACCCGTTCCCACTGCATTTTCACTATTCATTTATCAAGCAAGGAACCAGGATCTGCAACTGTACGACATGCCAAACTCCATTTGGTTGACCTGGCTGGCTCAGAGCGAGTCGCCAAGACTGGAGTAGGGGGCCAGCTTCTAACAGAAGCCAAGTATATCAACTTGTCACTGCATTACTTAGAACAGGTAAAACGGGAAGAGTGGGATGTAACTATGGCTATCATTTGTTGACCACATACTATGCATCAGCCATTCTCCTAGCGTTTCTGTTTTGTTTTGTTTTGTTTTTCTTTTTTTATTGTGGTAAAGTATACGTAACATAAAATTTACCATTTTAATCATTTTTAGGTATGCAACTCAGTGGCATTAAGTACATTCACAAAATTGTGCAACCATCAACACTGTCCATTTCTGAACCTTTTTCATTTCATAATCCCAAAGTAAAGTATACATAACATAAAATTTACCATTTTAATCATTTTTAGGTGTGCAACTCAGTGGCAACTCAGTGGCATTAAGTGCATTCACAAAATTGTGCAACCATCAACACTGTCCATTTCTGAACCTTTTTCATTTCATAATCCCAAACAGAAACTTTTCATTTCCCTCTACCCTTAGCCTCTAGTAACCTCTATTCTGCTGTCTCTATGAATTTGCCTATTCTAGATGCCTCATGTAAGGGGAATCATGCAATATTCATCCCTTTGTGTCAGGCTTTTTTCAATTAGCATAATATTTTCAAGGTGCATCCATGTTGTAGCAAGTATCAGAATTTCATTCCATTTTAAGACTGAATCATATTCAATTATATGTACATGCTACAGGTTGTTTATCCATTCATCCATTGAGGAACACTTGCGTTGTTTCTACCTTTTGGCCATTATGAATAACACTGCTATGAACATTGGTATCTACTAGCATATTGTACATACTATTCTTTTTTGAGACAGGATCTCACTCTGTTGCCCAGGCTGGAGTGCAGTGACATCATCATAGCTCACTGTAACCTCATATTCCTAGCAAGTGATCCTTCTGCCTCAGCCTCCTGTGTATACACTATTTTATTCAAACCTCACAATAGCCCTACATTGTAGGTGACAGTTATTATCCCCATCTTAGAGATTTTAAAATTCAGGTCTTCCAAAGGTCTTCCCAAGGTTACACAGCTAATGGTTGGGTGAGGATTTGAGCTTAGGTTTGCTTGGCTCCAAAGCTGATGCCTTCTTTCACTTATTGTCTTACTGCCTTATTGGAAAATTAGTAGTAGGTATGAATACAGGTTATAAGTGGCCTCATGTTATCTTTTTTCGGGCTAGCAGGTTAACTATGGAAACATAACTTAAAGTTGACTAGTATTGTTTCAGCTTCTGGTAACTGCATCTGGCTGGTAATTTTGCTCCTGCAATTGTTTTTGTAGCCTTAGCTTTCCCTCCCTACTTCTGCCCAGTTTACTACAATCCACCCTAGTATGTGCTCTATTTTTAATTTCTGAATTTGACTCCAAAGACAGAGAAAGATCATCTGAATTTAACAAAATAAATCTTCCAGAAAAAAAAATCTTCACTAAAATGAGTATATTGAATTAGATGATTTCTCAAGCTCCATTTAGCTCTGTGAGTATAAGTGCTGTGAGTTGAATGTTAAAGATGGCAACTACTTCCAAATTCTAAAAGAGAAACATGATCAAAAATTGGAGTGGAGAAGTACAGAGTATATTGGTGAGGGAGAAGGACTTGTTAATGAATGTTGGGGGCTAAACAATTTGAGAAAAAACAAAACGAAACTTTTTTTAACTACGTAATGAATCCTTTTGAGACTGATGTCGTCCTGATGTTAAATGCTTTGTAATGGTCACGTTGGCTGAAAAAGCAGATTCAGAGAAACCTATTTCACTCTATCTGAAAAAGGTGCATAGAGTTAGGCTCCAACCTGATGAATCCCAGTAATGTAGCACCCAGCGATTAAGGCCTGCTTGGCATTCAGATCATTTTAGTGTTTTTGACAAGAGTCAGCATTCCTGAGCTCTTTCTTGCTCAAATATTACACACTACTTATACTTAACAGAGCTTTTTACTTAATAGGACACTTATAGAACATTGATATGAAAACATAATGGACTATATTTAAAGTGCTTTATTTCAAAGAAATGTATCTGCTTGTTTCAGATAGTAGCACTGTCTGTTTTAATTTCCATTGTGTCCATCTGTTCATACAGAATTATATTCATCAGTTGAATCAGATTTCCCACCAATTGTAATCACTCAAGAGAAATGGTCTGCTCCTAATCCTTTTTTTCTTTATTCTGCATAACCTTTGCAAGCTGCTACTTGTCATTAAAACTATTCTTCTCTTCACATTTCTTCCTTCAAAATTATTGTAAAATCAGCCTCATGTGAGTAGTCTTGGTGGCTATGTGGCATTTGATTTTCTATACCTTTAATTTACGTATCTAACGAAGAGGGCTGCGCTAGGCACTGGAGCATAGTGGTCAGCAAAATAGAAACAGTCCTTGTTCCAGAGATCTCACAGCCCATTGTGGGGAGACGTGCATTAAATAAGTAATCATTAGATATGTGGCTGGAATCCAGGTGAGAGCTGTGATAACAAAGTAAAAAGATAGATGCCCAGTCATGGGATTGCTGGATCAAATGGTAGATCCACTCTATAAAAAAGACATCTGCATTCAAATGTTTATAGCAGCACAATTCACCATTGCAAAGATGTGGAAACAACTCAGGTGCCCGTCAATACATGAGTGGATTAATAAAATGTGGTATATGTATACCATGGAGTACTACTCAGCTATAAGAAACAATGGTGATACAGCACCTCTTATATTTTCCTGGATAGAACTGGAACTCATTCTACTAAGTGAAGAATCCCAAGAATGGAAAACTAAACACCACATGTACTCACCAGCAAATTGGTATTAACTGATGAACACCTAAGTGGACATATAGGAGTAACATTTATCGGGCGTCGGGCAGATGGGAGGGGGAGGAGGGGATGGGTATATACATACATAATGAATGCGATGTGCACCAGCTGGGTGATGGACACGCTTGAAGCTCTGACTCTGGGGGGGAAGGGGGAGAAAGGCAACACATGTAACCTAAACATTTGTACCCCCATAATATACTGAAATAAAAAAAAGAAAGGAAATAAAAGGAGTGAGGGGAGCTGGTAATGGGTATCTGACTTAGACTCAGGAGGTGAGAGTTGAGGATGGTTCTGTGAGGGCCTGGGAGGCTGGGAAGACGAGTAGGAGTGAGGGAGGTATGGATGTGGTCCTAGCGTGGTAGGCAGTAGGACTGTGAGCCTCACAGCTCTCAGCTCCAGCCCAGGGGGATCAGTTAGCTCAGTTCTCAATGACTTTCACATGTCATTGGCCCTGGGCTCTCTGAGTGTAATTTGCCTGTTTCATTTTCACCCACTGCATCACTCTGGTCGGTAACTATTCACACTGATATACAAGTCTCTTCACAGGAAAAGAGGAGGTTCAGCACAAGGTAATGGAGAGAGGAGAAGAGATTAGGTGAGAGGAAAGAAGAGCATGAATATGGAAAAAAGTTGAGTGAATCACCAAGTAGCTGCTAGAGAGCAAGTAGGTGGATAGAAGAGAGATTTTGGGATTTCACACAGAAAGAGATAAGCGAGAGAGAACCAAGGAGTATATGGGAATAAGAATAATAATAAGAGTAGGAAGATACTTAATAAAACAACAGAATTCAAGGACTTTTATAATCAAATTCTCTTTATGTAATACCTTATTATGTGGCTAGTGAGACTGGAAGTATAACACAATTTAGTTTAATAGCCTCATTCATTCATTCAACAAATTGTGATTGAGTGTCCACAGGGTGCTATGAGTTATGTTAGGCAATGGGGATAAATGTATGATTGGGAAAAAGGCTGAGCTATCATGTTATCTAGCAAAACAGCAAAGCATACAAACAAATACTTAGCAATACAGTAAGACAAAAGCTGTAATAGAAATCCATATCATTGTTGGTAATTAATTACATCCTCTCTTTCTCAGTTTAAATATATAAGATAGAGAAGAAAAGGGAAATGGTGTGGTAACCTGTCTTACTTTAATTAGTCTACACGGTCTAGAAATCCATGCAGAATTATAACCGCCCTTCTGGCCATAACTGTGAGACCTCACACCTGCTAGCAAGGTACACACCTGCTAGCCGGGTAGAGCCTGTCCGAGTTGAATGCACTTTTTTGTGCTCATAAGTAAATAACTTGCTGTTTGCCAGAGTAATGTTGGTTTTGGAGTTTTCCTTGTGTATGCAGTACTTTTTCCAAAAAGTCCCTTCAAAAATATTTTAAGCCACAATAACAGGGTACATCTTGGCCCTAGAAATTGAGTCCCTCAGGGGAAAAGGAAGGGAGCTGTGCATACTTGTCCTAAACCTCACCGAGTGCTCCTGGAGTGACCCGGGGTCTCTGTCAACCCAAACATCAAGTGAGAAACCACTGGGAACCGACAGTGTTTGCTCTCTACCACTACAGAAATCAGAATCGGGGTTGCCTCGGCCAGTTAGCCTACATAAGTGGGACTTTTCCAGAGTTTCAGTTTCCATTTGGCTTCCACCAAATGTGTTATTTGAAGAGAAAAACTAACGGTTCCAGTACCACTTCTAGCCACTCCAAATCTTTGTCAGTTTTCAGAGGATCATTATTTACGCCCTTCTGAGCTCTTTAAAAGACAGTCTCTTTAACTCATTAAGTAGTAAATTCAATTATTGATTCCAGGCACAGTTTCTAGGTACTCGGAGATATAATTAAGTATAATGTGAGGTTCCACTCTCCATCACTTAAAGAAAGCTTTCAGGAACATCTGTCATTGTATTTATAGGTGAAATCCAAAATTAAAGTAAACATGAAAAAAAAAAAATCAGATTGTGTGACCCCACTTCCCCTGTGCCATTCAGAAGATCCTTTGGTTCATGCCCAATGTGAAGAGCCACAGCAGCCCCACAAAGAATAATCTACCTTGGCCTCTCTCACAAATACCTGCCATTTCTGAGTCTCTCTGAGGGTTTGTACATGCTCCATGTGGGCTGGGCTTATTATGTCACTTCTAAAGCTCCTTGAGAGCTGACAGCATACCTGCTCAGGGTCCCCTTCTAACAAAATGGCCCAGGACTGAGTTTTTATGGCAAAGACGAGTCTCCAAAGGGATCATCAAGGACATTTCCTAGAGACTCCTCCACAGCACTGAGTGCTTTTTGTTTTACTAAGAACTATCCCAGAAATTATCTCTATTGATCTTTGAAACATTTCTTTGAGATAGATGGGCATTCTAATCCCACGTTTACAGGGGAGGGAACTGAAGCTAACAAATTTAAGAGATTTGCCTAAGATCACACAAGTGGATAAGCCGGATTCTGATCCCAGACCCTGGGTTCTTGCTTTTATCATGTACATTAAAAATAATACACCGATCTCCAGCCTGTTATTCCATTTTTCTTCTACTACTTGTCACTGTTTAAAATTGTACTTATTTACTTGTTGGAGTGCTCCAGAGATCATTCTTGACCCTCTTTTCTTTCTTGTCTACACTCTCTCCCTATGTAATGTCTCCAGTCCCCTGGCTTTTATATGCATCTATATCCTTATGTCTTTCCGGTTTATGCCATCAATCTGAACTTTTTCCCTGAGCTGTCTCCTTGACAACTCTACATCTCCACCTGGAGTTCTATTTTTGATTGTCTCCCCTCTCTGCCCCCAAGTATGATTGTTTCCTAGACCTTACCCATCACGGTCAATGGCCCTACCACCTATCTCATTGCTCAGGCCAAAACCCTAGACATCATCCTTGATTTACCCTCTCCCCCAATATCCAGTCCTTCAGCAATTTCTATTGGGTTTACCTACATAACTTACCAAGAATTGGACCACTTCTTTCCACCTCTTCTTACTCCAGTTCAAACCTCCATGGTCCCTTGCATGGACAACTGTGCAAGGCTTTGGATTAGTCTACCTGCTTCTACTTCTGCCCTTGCATCATCTGTTCTCCTCATGGCAGCCAGAAGAGTCTTTAGAAAATGTAAATTACATCAGGTCACTCCCCTACTCAAAACTTTCCATTTGCTTCCCAATACACTTAGTAGAATAACCAAGCTGCTGTGTGATCTGGTCCCTGTCTACCTATCTGACCTCATGTCCTGTCATGCTCCCCTAGCTTATGATGGCCTTCTTACCAGTGGTCCAACATGCCAAGCTTATCCCCATAGCAGAGGCTTTGAACTTCTTGCTCCTTTTGCTTGGGATGCTCTTGCTCCAGATATTCATGCAGCTTCCCACTTCTGATCATTCAAATTTTGCTCAAAATTGTTTCCTCACCAGGGCTTTCCCTGGACACTCTTAATATATATATAATTTGGGAAAAGAAAAGGAAACATTCACTAACTAGTTTTTGAGGAAAGTTGAAAACCAGGAAAGCATGGTGTTCCAATTAACAAGTGAATAAGGTGTTTCCCAGAGTAGGCAGTGAGTACCTAAGTTGAGTGCTTATTCAACTCAGAAGTCTAGTAAGTTGACAATCAATGCTTTGGGTACAGTGGAGGTTGCTGATGACCTCGGCCAACAGCCATCTTAGTGTAGTCTGTAGTGGGCATGCAGAATGGGAATCATCCAGATGAGGGAGAGAATTTAATGCAGAAGAGAAAGGAGGTGATTGTAGGAGCAAAGTGAGAGCAGAGGAGGGAAAGGATGGAGGGCTGGACTTAGACTGGAGCAGGACAGAAACAAGAGGAAGGGCAGAGTGTACAAGGGATTTAGTGATAGAGGCACAAGATAGTTCTGGTAGAAGCGTGGCCGTCAGCTCAAATCAAAATTGAGGAGAGGAGGAGAGGGTGGATATCAATTTGCATAAAAAGGAGAAGGAGCAAAGGCCTCATTTCTGAGAGCTGAAAAGTGATTTTTGAGAGAGACATTTCAGAATTGTTGGATCGTAACATCTGTGGTCATGAATTTAAAATGAGACTAGTGGTATAGTTGGATGTTTTCCTCAAAACAACCTTCAAAAAACAGTGCTCCCATCTTGTTTTGTAATCGAAGGAGAAGGGGTCCTGATGATGGGAATTATACACCTGGGAGGAAGGGGGACTAGAACAATGACAAGCGTTGGCAGAAGTATTTTCAGGAGCCAGAATCTTGTAATGCCCCTGAAGACACACAGTCTGTGGGTAACTGATTCCTGCTGCTTTGCAATGAACATCCTAGCACTGGATATTTCTGCCCAGGATAAGCCCTGGTGCCTCTCTCTGGGATGAACCCAGCAGCCTTTCGTCCACTGGACATTCATCCCTCTAGTATCTTCCCAGTAAGTACCTAGGAAACTCATGGAGAGTAAGATGAGCAAGCTGGAGTTAAACAAAGGTCAAGTACCCCATCACTTACAATGACGGCAAACACATAAATAGCACTTATTATGGGCTAGGTGCTACTCAGTAATTTACATATTTTAACTCTTTTAATCATCCAAGCTACCTATGAAATAGATACTGTTTTTATCTCTATTTTACAGATAAAGAGACTGAGGCAGAGATGTTGAGTGACATGCCATAGTAAGACTAGGACTTGCCCCTAGACAATCTCGTGCCAGGATCTGGGATCTCAACCTATCCTTCTTCCCACAGTTCTTATTTATTGTCCTGTCTCTGCTACCTTGGAGATAGGGCATACAGCCCAATTTTGGTAGGTTTAAAGTAATCAGGCATGATTTACTCTTGCAGTTTTTGTATAAATTTCTCAGTAGCTGAAAACAGAATAATAGTGTATCCAATTCTATACAAGTTATTTTATCTGTCCAAAAATTACAGGGCTCACAATGCTACATTTATGCTGCATTTATTTTATTCCATCTTGACCGTTTTTTGTATTGAATGTTGTTAAGGTATTTATTCTGTGTCCAAGTTTTGAGTGTCACCCTGCATTTATTTATCATTTCTTTTTGTATCTTCATTGCTGTTGAAGCTCACTTGTTTGTCAGACATGCATTTTCTACTAAGTTAATGCCATTATTTTTCCACTTTGCCACAGGTTATCATTGCCCTTTCAGAAAAACACCGTTCACACATTCCTTATAGGAACTCCATGATGACCAGTGTCTTAAGAGACAGTTTGGGAGGGAACTGCATGACGACTATGATTGCAACACTCTCATTGGAGAAAAGGAATATTGACGTATGCTGTTTTTTTTTTTCTGGATTTTATTGCTAGTTCCTGAGATTGAGTTGAGGGCCCTGGGTGGGTTTCCACTTTTTCAGCTGGGTTGAGATATTCCTTCAGAGGTAAATGCCTTACAGAATTCAAGCCTTGAGTTAGTTGCCAGCATCATTATTACCCAGTTTGAGAACTGACTTCACATAGCCCAGTATGGTTTGATTCAGAAGCCTCACATATAAACTTTGGAAGGCCTTCTGATGATGGGTTAGTTACCTGACCCAGAGAAGTGAGAGAGGTGACCCTTCAGCTTCTCTTGCCCAGTTTGGTCCTGACTACTGTGATCTGGATACCTTGGAGATATCTCTGAGATATGTCCCTAGATAGGTTGCTGGGTGCAGCACCCAGATTGCCTGGGCAGGGACTGCTGCTGAATGGTTTTTCTCAGTTCTGTTAGAGCTGGTCGATGTCTCACACATTTCACTTCAATGTTTGGGGTCCAGATGCTCTCCAAAAGAGGAAAACAGAAAGTGGTAGAGTGACTCTCAAAACAAGGCCAAGCCTTTGATTGTAAGATGGCTTAAAAGGCCTCTCTTTTTGGTCTGTTACAAATGTAATTTTATAAAATTACAAATAAATTTTTATAAAATTACAAATACAAAATAAGTTTACAAATAAACTTTATAGTCTTTCATGTTTGTGGATTATAGTACCTGCTATATGGTTATGATTTTTATGTGTAGCGCTGATTTAACAGATCGATAATTGAAAATACATAGTGTACCAGTTGCCACTTAAGACCTTAGGACCTCCAACTTTTTTGGCATTGGTCATTTTATTAAGCCAAAGCAAAATTTTTATTAAAAAATAATGTCCTAGAGCAAATCTTCCTAATTTGGAGGCATATGTCCTCATTGTGTATTTTAATACATATCACCCTTTACATGTCCACCTTTTTTCTGTTAATAAAACGTTTCATTTAGAGAGAAATATCTCTCTGTGCCATATTATTTTAAGAAGTTATTTTGCTTTCTTAGGAGTCTATATCTACCTGTAGATTTGCACAACGAGTGGCGCTAATAAAGAATGAAGCTATTCTCAATGAAGAAATCGATCCCAGATTGGTAAGCAACTTTTAATTGACCATGTTAACAAAATCAAAGCATATCAAAGATTAGCCAAAATTTGTAGGGGCACTTACTCTGTACTAGGCATGTTCCGAGGGCTAGAAAGGCATTAACTTATTTAATTCTCAAGACAACCTTATGATAGATGCTACCTCTAGATCCACTTTACAGATAACAAAACTGAGGCACAAAGGTGTTAAATCTGGCTCAGAGTCGCAGTACTGACTTCAACCCCAAACAGCCTGAGTCAAGAGCTCGTGCTCTTCTCACCTGCTCCACTAGGAAGACGGGCAGTGAGTCCTGAGGACTTGTTCAGCAAAATCATACCAATTATATTTATATGCAGGACCTATCCCTTCAATTTACATAAGTTTAACTTTCTAGAGATAATAATTGGCCATCTTTTATAAAAGCTTATAAAGAAAAAGAAGTCCTAAAGGTTAATAAATAGAGCTATCTTTTGCATAACTGCTCTGTTACTTATTCTAGTGATTTTTTAAAAATTAATTGTGGGTTTTATCCATGTAACATACCCAAGCTTCTAGTTTTATAACAATAAATACTGCTTTATCAAAGCACCTTTTTTAAGCAAAAAAAAAAAAAACAACAACAAAACATGTTACCTGATTCAGCTATTCATTATAAATGCAGATATTTTCTCTTGTCTCTATTTTGTTAGTTTCCTATAAATGAAAGCACTAATCAACTCATGACAACACTGAAAATGCTAACAAAATATCTTAATTTTGTCAAATTTTATAATTAAGATTATATAGGACAGGCATGGTGGTTCACACCTATAATCCTAGCACTTTGGGAGGCCAAGGCAAGAGGATTGCTTTAGGTCAGGAGTTTGCAACTAGCTTGAGCAAGAGCAATACCCCATCTCTACAAAAAAAAAAGAAAACTTAGCAGGGCATGGTGTGTGCACCTCTAGTGCCAGCTACCTGGGAGGCTGAGGCAGAGGATGGCTAAAGCCTAGGAGTTTGAGGTTGCAGCGAGCTGTGGTAACGCTGCTGCACTCTAGCCTGGGCATCAGAGCGAGACTCTGTCTCAACAACAACAACAAAAAAGATTATATTATTTTTCAAATTACTCAGCTTTTCTTATTTCTCTAGAAAACAAGCTGTTATTAGGATTAGTAGTAGGCATTATTAAAAAAAAAAAAAAAGATGTGAAATCTTTCCTGACAGTGATTCGTTTACAGATTTCTCAAATTCAAAAAAAACATTTCTCAAATCACTGTTACCCGTATTAATTACTTCCTATCGATTGATTGTTTGCCCTTTCTCCCCTGGAATCATTCCATTGATAGATAGAAGGAAAGAGGACAAAGGAGTAATGGAGCTATCTGTTTCATCCTGCTCCCCTGATGGAATTCTCCCCTGGAGAAACCAATGGGTGAAGCAGGATGTATTTCCAGGTCTGTGTGGTCAGACACCATGCAGTGCTCCTGCTGGAAAAAGGAAAGGGAACGTGAACTCCTCCGGTGAAGCTTCGTGTTGTCCCTACCTTTCCATCAGCCCTCTAGCATTGCTGTGCAGAGTGAGAAAGACAGTAATGAAGTGATTAGCCTAGAGACAAAAGTTAGTTCATAATTTAAGGAAAATAAACATTAGACACTGGAGGATTTTTTTTTCTTTAAATTTGGCTAGAGAGACTTTTCTTTGAAGGAAGTTGAGGCATTTGAAGAAAGGTAAATATTATCATGCGTTTGATGTGGGTCTGTGAGAGATTTAAAGAAAAGAGAAATGAGGAGTCAAAAGCTAATAGCTGATAATTGAACAAACGTTGAGGTCTTCCTGGTGCAAAATGATCTGGTAATTGACAAGTGTTATTTCCTGGTCTCTTTTATAATTGCTTCTAAAAACTGACATTACTGTTCGTTATTTTATGTGTGGAGCTTGTCTGAAGCACACGTGGCGACTGAGAATGTGTCCAACAAGCCACCCAAGACAAAGCTTGGTTTTTGGGATTTTGTATATATTATTCTCAAAATTTAATGGCAAATGTGAAGGCATCGTAAAATCAGGACCACCAAGGGTTTTCCCTGCTTTCTTTACAAGTATTGGTACCTCAGAGACAACCTTATGAGTAATTCTCAAGACAACCTTATGAGTAGATGCTACCTCTAGATCCACTTTACAGATAACAAAACTGAGGCACAAAGGTGCTAAATCTGGCTCAGAGTCACAGTACTGACTTCAACCCCAAACAGCCTGAGTCAAGAGCTCGTGCTCTTCTCACCTGCTCCACTAGGAAGACGTGCAGTGAGTCCTGAGGACTTTTTAAGCAAAATCATACCAATTATATTTATGTGATTAAATATAATCACATTATATTTATATATGTATAAGGTGATTATACCTTATAAGGTATAAGGTGATTAGATAAGTGTGAACATGACCAGAGTCTGTGGTGACTAGGCATGGGCCACAATCTAAGGATGGCTCTAATTCCAGAGTTCCTGCAGTAATTTGATGGGAGGTGTGACTCTGCTAATCTCAAAACCATGGAAATTGGGCTTCGTTTTGAGATTTCTATTCAATACGATAAAAAAAAATAACTTGATATAAGATTTGACTTTAAAAGCCTTAGTAAAAATAGAAAATATGGCATCGATATTAATTTAGAAGAAGAGGGTAAAAATGAATGACTCACAAAGCTCTTGTCTTAAGATTTTCATTCTGTGTAGCTTGATAATACTGAGGATGTTTTTGAAAAGAAGCAAACAAACAAAACCCACACTTATCTGGTACATTTAAATAAAATTCTAGGAGCACTGACAGGTTCAAAACACTCAGTATCATGTTCTCCGGGACTTCTGGTCCTGTTGATGTGGTTCAGATAACTTGAAAGTCACCTATATAAAATTTCACAAGTATCTTTGAAATATATATCTAAGGTTGAAAGGAAGTAAGGGAATTCTCCTGGGCCAGAAACAAAGCTGAGACTGCAGTTGTCTTGGAGTGGAGCGGTAGAGTTATAACAAAGGCATAGAAAGGCCTGGGGCTTTGCAGGATGAATATTGAACCTAAGACATCCTCTCCTCTCCTCAACACAAAACCAGTGAAAGAGTGAACCAGAAAAAAATAGAAATCTAGCTACTGGCATAGGGAGACGTGAGGGCAGCTTGTCTGCCTTAGACTGGACTCCAGGTAGAACAAAGAGTAGTTTCTGTGAAAATTTGAAACCCTAGGCTCTACCTCACATGGATTTGAAGTTCAAATTTTACAACTCTCTTAGTCTGGAAACCTCTAAGCAAAGAAGTTAGAAAATCAGCAAAGCTACTGAAAGGAGAGAAAGGAAGGGAGGGGAAGGGGAGGGGAGGAGAAGTGTGGGGAGGGAAGGAAAGAGAAAGAGGAAAGAAAGAAGGAAAAAGGACTACACTCAATGTTTTGTTTTGTTTAATTTTGGAGTAATACCAAATATTCAAAAATGAATAAAAGCTGAATTCAGCCTGCTAATTTTTGTTTCAGGAATTTTGTATTTTGATCATAAGATCATTAATATGACATGTGGTATCATGACCTAGTTGGGCTCATTTCAGGAATTTAAGGACAATCTATCAGTAGAAATATATCTATGTAGTAAAAGGAAAAAAAAACAGGAAAAATAAAAACCAAATTTAGAATAATGGTAATGGGAAATTCATTTAGGGAAGGCTATACATGGGTGAGGGCTTCAAAGGGGTCTGTAATGTTTTATTTCTTAAGTACTGGATTACATGGATGTTCGCTTAAGGTAAATAATGGGTATAAGGTATTCTTTTATCCCATCTTGTATATCTGAAATAGTTCATAATAAAAAACGAAATCTCATAAATTAATATGATTCATTACATTCACATTTTTAAAAGAGAATATTTCTATAATCTTATCACTAGTTGCAGAAAAAGTATTGGAGAACATTAAACATTCATCCATACCTTGAAAAGACCCATCAAACTATGAATATTAGTGAAATCTTTAAACTGATTAAGAATATTACCCATAAATTACAGTAAACATCATTTTAAAAGTGGAATGTTAGAAGGGATTAAAAACAAGAGTATCTTAAGAATTGTGCTTGGAAGTTGTAGTTAGGACAATGAGGCAATAACAAGAAATAAAATACATGAGATTTAGAAAAGAATAAAAACATCTATCGTTACTTGCAGACAATTTTATTGGTTATATAGAACATCCAAAAATATTTAATGATAAACAGAACCAAAAAAAGTTCAGAAAATTATTTGTTACATTATCCACATATAGAAATAATTTGCCTTCCTACAAACCAGAAGCCAACAATGAGAAAATATAATTTTATGGAAATTCCATTTATAATGTCAACAAAAACCTTTAAATTCCTGGCATAAAATATAATTAAAGATATATAAGATATTTATAGAGGAAATTATAAATCTTTATAGAAGGGAATCAGTGGAAAGCTACACCATGTTTATGGATAGGATGATTTAATCATTAAATTTGGCAAGTCTTACCAAAGTAGCTTTTTTATTAAAGGCAATCCCAGTTAAAATTTGAGAAGGGCCTTTGGTAGAATTTGACAAGCTTGGTCTAAAATTTACATTGAAACAGAAGATTGCCAAGAATAGCCAAATCTATTTTGGAAAAGAACAAGATGGCAGGGGCTCCTCTTATCTAGATGCCAAAATTTCTCAAGAGATGGTAATTAAAACAGTATGGTATTGCCATACATGTAGTCAAATGGGCAAATGTTTTTAACCAACAGCCCAATAACAGACACATTTATATATGCGAACATGTCATACAATGTAATTATAATAGCAAATCTTGTATGGTTAGCCATATAAAAATAAATTGAAATATAATCCCTATTTCACATTTTGCACAAAATAAAATCCACCTAAATGTAGAAATCAAAGCTTTAACACTTTTAAAAGATCTAATAGGAATATATTTCTATGGATTTCAGCAAGATAGATTTTCTTTGAGAAAATGCAGAAGCATAACCCATAAAGAAAGGAGTTGCTATTTAGATTATATTGAAATTCAGAACTTTCTTTTTTTTTTTAAATTTCAAAATATTATGAAGGTACAAATGTTTTGGTTACATAAATTGCCTTTTCACTACCAGAGTCACAGCGACAAGCATGCCCATCCCCCAGACAGCGCACACCACACCTGTCTCATCCCTTACCCATCCCTTCCTCCCCGCTCCCACCTGCCCAACACCCAATGAGTGCTATTTCCATATGTGCTTATGTGTTGATCGATTAGTACCAATTTAATGGTGAATACATGTGGCGTTTGTTTTCCATTTAACAAAAAGAACACCACAAAGTGAAAAACTTGATATAGATCGGGAGAAAACAGGTGTATTACATAAAACTAACAAAAAATTCACATCTAGAATATATACAGAATCCTGCAAATCAATAAGGAAAAGAAAAACAAGTCAATTGAAACATAGGCAAGAATGAATAAATAATTCTTGGGAGGAGAAACCCAAACTGCCAATATACATATGGAAAGATGACCAGCCTCACTAATAATCATAAAAATGCAAATTAGAACTAAAATGATATATCATTTTATACCTACCAGATTGGCAAAATTAAAATATCTGTCAAGATTACACAGTGACAAAAATGTGGGGAAACAAGAACTTACATATATAATTGATGGGAATGTACATTTGTACAACTACTCTGAAGAGTGTTTTAACAATATGTGTAATAATAAAAGCAAGATGCACATACCCCACAACCAAGAAATCCTAGTTCTAAGTGCACATTATAGAGAAACTCTCACATGTATGTCCAAAGAGATTTATAATAGTCACAATAACACTAATAGCAAAAGCAAAAATCCTAAATGTCCATCAACAAGAGATATAGTTGAACAAATTGTGATATAATCATTTACTGAAATACTATATATCCATGAAAATTAATGAACTAGAGCCACATGAAGCAATATAAATAAGCTCAAAAATATAATATGAAGGGGAAAAACAAGTTGCAATTACATGCAGTAATGTAACATATACATAAAATTTAGGCATGCAAAATGATACCATACATTATTTATGAGCACACCCATACATATGGAGTAAATGTATGAAAACATGCAGGAAAATGATACCCATTAAATTCATCACAGTGATCCCCCAGGAAGGATGGAAGGGGAATAGGAATGGAGGTTCCTGTTACATCAGTGATGTTTTATTTGTTAAAAAAAAAATTATTTAACTATTTTGACAAAATGTTAAGATTTAACAAAGTTAGCTGGTAGGTATAGGAGTGCCTTTTATGTCATTATACATTTTTGTGTCTTTAAAGTAGTTCATCATTTTAAAAGATGTATGTTCTCTGCCACTAAGTTCACCTTAATGAGAAGTTGACATTTCCTCTGCCTCCTCGCCATTTGCAGATGATTATCCGTCTACAGAAGGAAATCCAGGAGCTGAAGGATGAACTGGCCATTGTCACCGGGGAGCAGAGGACTGAGGCACTCACAGAAGCAGAGCTCCTTCAGTAAGCCTGCAGACATTTTCCCCTTTCTAACAGTGAAAGTTTATGTTAACTTCTTTGTTGGCCCTAACTTTATGAATTCACCTCAAAGCATGAAGTTCTCCTGGGACAGTCTGAAATTGCATGTAGGCGCCAGTTAAGAGTGGCAGCTTTCCATGAAAAGCTGGATAAGGCTGGCAGTGTTTTTGCCACCTCAGCTTTGAGGAAGTAAAGAACAGTGCATAAAAGAGGATGGGAATATCCTTCTCGTGCCAGCTGAATGAAAGGGATTGTATAATAGTCATGCAATTTTAAAACACACACACCAAACACTCTTAAGCTGTGGAGCTCAGATCTGAAAGGAATTCAAGACACATCCTTTGTATTAAACGGCATCTTGCTGCAAGCACCAATTTATCCCACGCCAAAGTAAGCTTTCTCCTTTAATAAATAGATGGCCCATATATTATAGCTCAAACAAACTGGCAGTGAAAGCAGGTATTCAGGGCTTTGTACAAGTGCAGCATCTTTCAGAGCCTTTAGATTTGCAGCCCTATGGTGTATCAGTGGCACAATGTGGCTCTCCTTCTCTCTCTGATCATGAGCCACGGTGGTGGCTCTTGTCATTCGTGTGCTGCTTATTAAGCATTTGTGGAGTGGTAAGAATGCACTAGGCTTAGAGGGCATTGGCATTCTCTGTTTCCAAGTAAGAAAAAAAAACCACATAAGACTTTTCTAAAGATATTCTACCATTTCACCTACGCTTCCTTCAACAGAGAAAATAGTAAATAAGGGAGACAATAAAAGTAGTTTTCTTTAAACTATTTCATGTGGCCCCTGAGGTGGGTCTAAAGCTTGAGAAGGCTTAAGCAAGGTTTCTGTTGCAGACAAAGCTTTCACTCCTCCAAGATAGTGTTTCCTAATTCTAGAACACTATTTAATAATATGATAGGCCCCTAAGTCTTTCTCTGTGAAACTATTTTGTGGTGTATTTAAAAGGGGAATATATTGCCAAAAATTCACATTCTAAAAATTTTCACGTCACTTCTTAAAATAAATTAGAATAACTTAAAATGTCTTAGACATTAAGATCTTTGAAAGCTGAGACTTTCTTCACTGGGGTTCTTCTTTCCCCCAAAAGAAATGAATTACCAATTAGTATCTGAGAAAATGTCTCTTGAGAATTTTGATCTGCAAGTCAGGATCCATCCAGGAAAACAAAACCACTCTAGGCCTTTCAACAGAAAGAACTTAATATAGGAAATTGCACAGAAGAGGACATTGCTGGAAGCTAAATAGGAAATGATGAAGCACTTCAGAGGTCAGTAACAACAGGAGCTCCTACCCATAGGACTGCCGGACCACAGGAGAAGCTGGCATTACCAAAATCCATGGAGCTGACCAGCAGGAGCTAGACCATAATGAGTGCTGCCTGCCAGGAGCTGTGGCCACTGAGAAGCCACCCACAGGTGCTATTTAAGACATCATCCAGGGGCATCCTTGTCTCCTCCCTCATCCCCCTTCCAGTCTTCCATCAGTGCTGCTCATTGGCTGAACTTACCCAGAATTCAGTTGTTAATGAAGTCAGGAAATGCAGTTTCCTGTGAGGCAGAGTCAAATGGGGGAAGGCTGGAAATTGTATCTAAGAGCAGTATATCCAGTAAGTACTAGTGTTTTTTCTAATCCCCATATATCCTGCATGTTGCTCAGGAGGCTCTGTTTATGGGTGAGATTCTGAATGTGATGGTTTCAGTATGTCAGATTGAGTTAAGTGTGTGCTGCAGGTTCCCTCTGCTGTACCAAATCTAGAGAATTATAGAACTCAGAAACAGAATTACAGAAACACGTGAATCTCTTGCCAGACCTGAAAACAAGAAGTGGACTTCTCAAGGGACTAGAGGCTTCAGGGGATTCCCGAGAGGCTGAAAGGTGGGGGTAGAGATGGGCAGGAGAAAAGGATAAACCAAGACACTGGTGCAGAGTGATGGTGGCCCCATGTTGCAAGTGTGGAACCCTGGAGCAGGAGAGGGCTGGGAACAGCATTTGGTAGAGCGCTTGTAGTGGGTGCAGTTGTCCCTATGACCTGTGCACTCCTCCTTCCCAGTGAGAGGATGGAGAAACAGAGAAGGGTCCCAGGTAGCTGGCAGAGAGGGACAAGAGAAGCTCTGAAGACCTGCTGCTGTCTTCAGCTCTGCCCGTTCCCCTATTCTCATGGAAAACACCAAGGAACGCAAGTACCTGCAGCTGCTTTAGCTCCTCATCCAAGTCTGGCTGCCCAAGCTGAGATACCTGAGAGTCTGGGAAAGATGAGCTCACAGTCAGGAATGGCTAGAAATAGAAATATGAGGACTACCAAAAGTCTGAGAAAGACAAGAACAAGAAGAATTTACAACTTGCAGGGCCCTACAAAAGGAGTGATTAATTTTTTTTAGAGAAATAATATATACCATTACATTCATGAAGCAAGAATGGGATTTGATTTTTAAAAAACAAAATCAGGAGGAGGTCTTGGATATGAAAAATTTAATTGTTATCATTAAGAATTTAATACATGGCTCAATAGCAGAATAAAAAAACTGAGGGACAAGTTAGTGAGCTAGGAAGATCAGGACTAAGGAATTATTCCAGAATGTAAGATAAACAGACAAAGAGATAGAAAGTTTAACAGAAAAGAGTCATGGAGAACAGCTCTAGATTTACCAAAATCTAATGAATTGGAGTTTGTGGAGGAGAAAATAGAGATAATGCAAAGGAGACAACAGTTGAAGAAATAATATCTAAGAATTTTCTAGAACTAGTAAAAGGATGTACAACTTCAGAATGAAAAAGTTACCAACTGCTTAGCTGTATAGTCACATTGTAGAGAATTTTCAGATCCTCAAAATGTAGCAAAGAATCCCAAAATTTACCAGAGAGGGGAAAAATATTACTAAAACACAAGAATTTTATTTAAAGTTGACTTCTCATCAGCAACTTTGGAAACAAGAACATCTAATGCTATAAAACAAGACAAAAAGTACTTTAAATGTATTTTTTTCTGAATCTAGCCAAATTTGTCTTCAAATGTGAAGATGAAATAAAGGCATTTTGAAGATATACCCATTTTGAGACAGAAAGGTTACCACCCTAGATCTTTTTCTTCAAAGAACTACTACAGACTGTACTTTAGCAAAAATAAAAATGCAATAAAGTATAAAAAGCAATAAGAATGAGCAAATTTTATTATAGCTTCTTTATGATACTTAATATTCATAGTACTTATATCTTTTTCACTAACTTTCCATTTATTCTATAGATGAATTTTTCTGTTTATAAGTTACTGATATTATCAAAATTTCCATTCACAGGAATTTGGGGGATAGAATGAGGAGAAATAAAATTGTTAAAATAAATAAAAATACTAAAGGACTCTTAGATCTTAGATTGATTTCTGTTGACCCATAGATAACAAATGTACAAATGTCAATCTGAACAGATTCTACATAGTGTATAGAGTTCTCATTAGCTTTTTTGTTTGGTTAGTTTATTTATTCATTCAACATTTATTATTCATCTAGCATTCACAAAACTCTATGTTAGGTCCTGAGAGAAACACCAATATGAGCAAAATCTAGTTCCTGTTCTCAAGAAGCCCACAATTTAATGGTGGTGACGGATAAGTAATGATGATGCAATATATATGCATTATGAGAAGATATAAACAAAACACAATGAGAATGCAAAGATAGTAATGATTACTTTTGAGCTCAGGAATCATGTAAAACTAGTTCATGTGCTACTAAATAACTCCAACAGTTCCCAGTGAAATGACTTCTCTGCTGTCAAGAGAAGTGTACTATATAACATTGTGTCTTATTGGTGATATCTGGCCCAACAGTTACAGAGAACAAACATTGCAAACCACCTCCACCCTGACAAAGCAAAGCATAGAGTTTCACAACAACAGAGTAAATTTGGTACTTGTTCACACTGACAGTGTGGATTATTCAGATAATGTGTTCTGTTCTAATTATTTTTGTTATGTTGTTGTTATCATTATGTTTTGCCATAATTAGCTAGATTGAACATCAAGTACAACCTAAATTTCAGCAGAGTTAAGAGTCTTTTATCATTTTAAAGTAAAAGAGATAAATTAAAATTTGCCCTTAATGTGGCATTAGACTTAATGTGGCACGAATGTGGCATTAGTGGCATACGCCTTTGCCTTCTTGGGCCCCTGGACATTTACTTAGGAATGAGAATCAGCTTCATTCCTCCCATCGCACCCAAACTCTACAGGTGGTGGGGCAGGAGGTGAGGGATAGCGGAGTTGGAAAGAGGAAGGATCCTGCAGCTTGGCAGGGCAGAGGGGCAGAATTGTTCTGGCTCTCAGCCATTTCTCTGCCCTGCAGATTCCTGGGGTTATGTTGATTGGCATGGCATAAGGAAATCCTGTCAGACATTCTCTGAAGAATATCATAACGCAGATACTTAGTAGACATGAAATTCTATGCAGTATGCATTGAGCAGTTTGGAGAGGTCTGCTAATATCTAGCCTATCAAATTTTTGAGCCATTTCCCAACATTTCAGCACTGAATGTAAATATTTGTTGCATGGACTTGGATGCTTTAATTGAAGAGGATTCTAGATGTCAGCCTTTAGTTATTGTGATATTTTTAGTTTACAACTTCCCTCCCCCCTACCATGGGTAAATTTAAAAACAGCTGGATAAAGTCTGTATAGCCAAGTTAATGTTTATACAGAACTTCTTGGGTGAAGATTTGATTGTGATTGATTCTCTAAACACGCACATCATTGTTCCTAGTAAAACAGTAAGCCTGTAGACCTTTGACTAGGTTGGAAGCATTATGTCCTGGCCCAAATCAAAGTGAATGGAATATTTTCAGGATAGCAGCATTTTAATTCTGAGATGAAATTGAATCATATCTCATGAACTCAAGTTTTCCCAAAGTACCTAGATATCTATAAACATCTGGATCCTTTTGTAACAGAAAAAAAAAAAACCTTCATGCAAATCAATTTG